ACCATGAACCCCAAACCTTAAACCTCACCCTAAACCCTCGGACCTGAACCCGAAACCCTAAACCGCTTGGTTTGTAATTCCAAATCCTGCATTCTCCTGAGCCGGCCCGAGGAAAGCGCGCAAACGCAAAGGGAGCTTCCGGACTGATCCTATATCCTATAGCCCTTGGAGCTCTATCTATGTGTGTGTGTATATGTATATATATATATATATATACATATATATATATACATATATATATATATATATATACATATATATGGGCGCACCCCTATTTGGGGTCCTCTACGTTTTTCGCTATACCATCTGACTCGGTTATAACCACCAGACTAGGTTATAACCAGCCGACTAGGTTATAATCAGGTGTACGTCATCGACTACAGTATTATATCCGGTTTGAAGACCATGTTTTCAGAATGCTGAAACCCGCACAACGCTAAGAATTCTATGACATCTTCGTCGAAACCCTGTTACAATGTGCTAAAATCCTTGCTTTGAAGCCGTCGATATATCTTCGTAGTTCATGTTTTTGTGACCTTATCTAAACCGCTGTATTTCAGTTTTTTCCAACAAGCGCGCTGTAGTCATTAGTCTGGTTCAGTCATTCCTTATCGCGAACTAGATTTTGCAACGAAAAATTGTCCATCTTTGTACTGTAATGCCGCAATCCCACCAAAGTCTCTGTTGTTGGACGCATTGCTATGACGTCTTGGCAAACTGATAGCTTTCAATGACATATCCCTGTGCCCCCATGTGATTGCTTTTAAACACTGGTATATCCGGTAGGTATATTTGAGTGGTGCATTCCTTAATTCTGTATGACGGCTGCCCCAAGCCAAAATTGAACTACAAGCTTAGCAAACGTTGTATAGTGATTTTCCTGGGGGACGACATGAAGCGTCGCTTCTTAGGCTTGGCACTGTTTCTATATGCTGAGTGATGAAGCCTGTGCTTCTTGTATCAGCATACCTTAACCATCACGTAAAGCCGACTGAGAACCATAAGGTTACATCTAGCTTGTCCGAATTTCTGTTTGTATTCTTGTGAATATTTACTGAAAGTCGAATAGAAGCCATTGTTCCCAGTCCAGAACGTGATCCTCGTGTTAGAAAAAATGGTACACACACACCGAATCACTCCTCGAAAGAGGTTCATCCATGTAGTTGGAAATAGCATTGCGAGGAATTTTCTACGTACCGAGCGAGGAAACCTAAGAGTTTAAGTCGCAAATTTTGTTTCGCTCACCACACATATTCTTATCAGTTTTGTCTCGTCGAAATCCGGCTTCCTTGGAACGATGTTTGAACATAACGTTGCAACCAGTTCGCCTATGTACGAAGTGATGAAACCTGACCACGCTGTAAAAACTGAAATACTCTCTCTCCCTACAATGACGTCGTATCAGCCGTATCTCAACTTTCTGTGTACCGTGATACTCCAATGTTGACAAAACTTACTGACCTACTGTAATCCCGATAGAGCCCCGTCATATTCCGCAGTTTGATTCCTGCGTGAGTGACATGTTAGCGGCTATTCTCTCAATGTGTACGTAGATCTCATAAACCCGATGTACTGGAACGGACAGACCATTGTGTAAAGTCCGCCATATAGCCTTTCCGCTAAAGTTGGGGAATGCGCATATGGTCCCCGGAATTATGTTGTTACAAAGCACTGCATCATGCCTCAACAACCGAATACACGCCAATTACCTCGGACCCTCTATTCTTCTAGTCCTTGTTTAATTTCATTGCGGTTACATTCACCCTGAAACACCGAAACTTTCGAACGTTTGGATTTAGGTGTGCATGAAGTACTGTAGCGGTGGCACAGGCCTGGTTATAACCTCTGTCCCCGGTTATAACCAGGACACCTGCGTAGCAGGCAGCCCTAGACCCATCACTAAACCATTAAACCATTAACAAACCGTTAAATTAGTACACCGTTAAACAAATCCTTTGCCCCAGTGGACCCAAACCAATAAACCATTAAACCATTAAACCAATCCTTTTTGCCCCATACCACTAAACCATCAAACCATTAAACCAATCCCCTTACCCCATACCACTAAACCACTAAACCATTAAACCATTAAACCAATCCTTTCCCCCAGTGCACCTAAACCACTAAACCATTAAACCAATGCTTTCGGCCCATACAGGGTTGTGTCTCTCTCTCTCTCTCTCTCTCTCTCTCTCTCTCTCTCTCTCTCTGGGCAAATGACTGGTTTAATGGTTTAGTGGTATGGGGCAAAAGGATTGGTTTAATGGTTTAATGGTTTATTGGTTTGGGTCCATTGGGGGAAAGGATTGGTTTAATGGTTTATTGGTTTGGGTCCATTGGGGGAAAGGATTGGTTTAATGGATTAATGGTTTATTGGTTTGGGTCCATTGGGGGAAAGGATTGGTTTAATGGTTTAATGGTTTAGGTGTGCAAAAACCAGGGACCCCATATAGGGGGGTACCCATATATATATATATATATATATATGTACATATATATTTAAGGTTTAGGGTTTAGGGGTTTCGGGGTTTAGGGTTTAGTACATACATACATATATACATGTATATCCTGAACCTTACATATCCTGAACGAGCCTAGCCCCTGTAAGTTTATAAGCCTCCAACACCATAACATCTAAGCTTCAACACCTTTAGCACTGCAGAACAAATCCCTAAACTCTAGTCCGGACCCAGCCCTAATCCCTAAACCCTAAGCCCCAAACTGTAGACCCTAAACTCTAGATGCTAAACCTGAAGCCCTAAGCTGTATACCCTAAACTCTAAACCCTGAACTTTAAACGGCCTAGGATGTCTTCGAGATCCTTCTTCGTCCTGGCACTGGCTCCGCAGAAAATCAGAGCACAGAACGCTTCTTCCAGAAACCTTCGTCACACAAAACAGCGGAAAAAAAGAGCCTAAAACCTAAACCCCCAAAACCTTGCAGCCCTCCCACCTGAAACCTGAACCCTATACACGCAAAGCTCCTAAACCCTATAAACCCTGAACCCCTCAACCCTCCCAAACTCCAACCCCTGCAAAAAACCAGCGAAAACCACTATGAACCACGCACAAACCCCTAAAAACCCTATGATCAAACCTAGTTGGACCCTTTTCAAAAAGCCACCCTATGATCAAACCTAGTTGGACCCTTTTCAAAAAGCGTGTGCACGAGAGAGATCCTCAGCTTGCCATGGCAACCGCTTCGGTCGCAGACGGCGTCCTGGTCGTCGGGGCTCCTCAGTGCAGCGCTCCGGTTGATGATATAAATCCTGCATTACCTATAATAAAGAATATACCATAATTCTCACAGTTAAGGGTCCTTAAGATCATGCAGGATTTATATCATCAACAGTCCCTCTAAGGGTACTGCTTGCAGGTTCATGGGTAGTTATAAGTGGGGTTATATGTCCCCCAATATGGGTTATAAGTTATAAGTATAGCTACCCACTTAAAACCCCACTTAGGGCTTCTGTAACGGGGCCCCCTTTAAGCGCATCAGGGTACTAGGGGATTTTTTAATAAGGCTCACTCTAAGGGTACTGGGGGGGGTTCTACAATAGGCTTACCTGTAAGGGTTGCTTGTAAGGGTTCCATAATCCAGGGGCATTCATGACTAGAATAGGGTTCTGGGACCCATTATACTATAGTTATAGTAAGGAGCACCCAAAGTACTGGTAATTATGTAGGCACCCATAGTATGTGCTTAGGTTTAAGGTTTACTGGCTGTTGCTACCAGACTTTAGGATCGCTGTTGGACGTTGAAACGTCTGCATTTTCCAAGCTCTACAAGAAGCCCTAAACCGTAAACCCTAACCTTTAAGAGAGTTGAGGCGTGTAGGCACCGGGCACTCCCTGTACTTTCATGTATCGGTTCGCTGGCCCAGCTGCCCGGACAACTTACGCATCGTGAAAACGCTCTCGTGGTGCAGTGTTGCCTTGTGAAGCCTTGTCGAAAACACAGCTAAATTCTAAACCCCAAGCTCTAAACCCCCAGCCCCGCTTGGAGGTTCATGGGTAGTTGTGAGTCGGGTTATAAGCCCCCTAATATGGGTTATAACTATATAGTTACCCTACTTATAACCCCATTTATAACTACCCATGAACCTCCAAGCAAGCTCTAACCTTTGACCACCCAACTACCCTCTGATCGACCCCAAATACCCCTAATAAGGGCCATGGGGACTCTATTACAGGGTTTTTGTGGGCGCTCTAAATCCCTGGCCCCAATCCTGAGAAAATAGAACCCTAAACCCCATTATAAGCCCTAAAACCCTAAGCCCTATATCCTGAGAAACTAGAACCCTGAACCCTAACCCCTAGAGCCCTAAACCCTATATCCTGAGAAAATAGAACCCTGAACCCTATTCCCCTACCTTAACCCTGAAGATCCTACCTTTTTTTCAGGACTTATATAATAATAAGGAAATCATAATAAGGAACCCTAAAAAAGTAGGTTCTTCAGGGTTAAGGCATATCCTGAGAAGATAGATCCAGAGATGCCCGAAAGCCTGGATCGAAGGCCACTTGGAGGGTCGGGGAACTTAACTGGCCAGGAGCCTTCGGTTCCCTTTAAAGGGCTCCTTTTAAAGGGGTCTATAGGGGCTACTATAAGGGATCTATAAGGGTACTATAATGTCGGGGGACTTAGTAGCTGGTTGTTTTAGGGGCTTATAAGTACCATAACCCCAATTAGGGTCCCTTTTAGGGTACTTCTAAGTCTACTTACTGCCTACTTACTGAGTCCCCCGACCCAAGCAGGAACTTGTTTGGCGTGGACGCCGCCGATGCCAGCGGGTCATGACAAAAAACTCTACATCCCAAATGGGAGTTTCCGGAAATTAGGGGTACCTTATTTTGGGGTCCTTGTAATCACGATCCTACTGTTTCCTACTTTCGGAAACTCCCAAATTTCAATCAAAGACCGAAGAATGCATCGAACAGTCCACGTTTGTGGAAGGATGCACATGGACTCCTACAGTCGGTTGTGAAGGGGGGGAGAGTCTAAGAAGCCTTGCGACGAAAGAACCTGCCCAAGTCACCCAAGCAAATGGTGGCGGCAAGTACAGAAATGGCCGAGCATGTCAGGATTCCAGACCAGCCTACAGCAAACATAATGGCCGTCTCGGCCAAGCGAACGACCAAAAACATGATGCCCATCAAAACAGAGCAGGCCATGTTTAGCATCACCTCCCGGCATCTTGTAGATCGGTGCTGCTGAAAGCAGCGCGGGATCCGCAGCCACAGCGCTACGAGTACCGGGATGGTTCCCAACCATGTGCAGAACACGTAGAGAGTGTTGTAGAAGGCCAACCGCCACGCGTTAGCGTTTCCCTGCCACCACAAAGACTGGAGTCCAGCATGAATGCCAAACCAGGCAATCGGCACCGTAGCTCCCGTCAGCCAAGCATATGGCAACAAACAGCTCATGACACCGCGCTGGAATGCTGCAGAAACATCTTGCTGAACAATGGCATCAAAAGCAGTGTCGGAGCCAAACCAGTGTTCCAAGCATCCGGCAATGGCCTGGCGGTCGCAAAACATCCTCTGTCCAGTCTTGGGGTTCACGTGGTTCACGCTGCAACAATAGCAGCTTGTGTCGTTGCGGAACGAGAAAGTCCGCAGCTGCTCCTGAACAGTACTTGCAGCCCGGAAATGGGCTCGAGCCGCAACGGTCGTGAAATACATGAAAGCCATCACAGAGACCGCGAAGAAAAATGCAATCGCCTCCGCTACAGCTTGAGAATCGAAGTGCTCGAGCAGAATATCCTGGGACACTGAGTATCCTAGCCCAACATCCTTTTAGAGTATGGCAGACTGATACAACCCCCATAAAATACAGTGACTTACGGTTCCCTTCTCATCCCCATTGCAAGTGTCTGCAACCGCCAGCAGTATGGCCACAGTCAGGAACGCAGCAATGGTGCATGGTCCCCAGCTGACAGGCCTGATGATCAGCTGACCGTCTGGGTGACATTTCAAGTATGCGGCTAACCTGGGTCCGGTTGGGTAAACAAAGAAAACAGGACCCCTTCAGAGGGCTCGCATGTAAAGCACTAGGGTTAGGAAGCCTAATTGTAGAAAAAGTAGGAAAGGCTCTGCAAGATTGACCGAGCAACTCTACGGTACACCACATGCGGTGCAAATAGCTCGGATCCCAACACACCAACATGCTCTGCGAATACTTCAATAGTGCTGCTAAGTTGAACATGCCTTCGGCTTTCAATCTCTCGTCTTTCTGGTGGATGCATATTCTATCCAGAAAAACTCGTCTGCGAGATGGCCACGTCCTCTCTTCTCAAATAACCGGGCCCCCAAAACTGGCTTGGGGTTGTACAATAACCCCGCATTTATATCCTTACCCCTGAACGTCGTTATCGTTCTATTCTCTTCTTATCATTTTTAAACGAAAATTGCGTTATCGTTAAATCGTTTCATTTTCTTCTTATCGTTATACCATAGAAAGCCATGCAAAACCGAACAACGATATGCCAAGACAAAACCTATAGGCGCGGAGGTATTATACAATGCACTTTCTAAAATAGACTAAATACATAGGGCCAAAAAAGTTTAAAGTTCTCCCATCGGTTAAGTAAGCGTCAGCAAAGTAAGGCTTGAGAAAACAATGCCCGCCAGCATACTCCAAGCTGTAGCGTTCGGCATAGGCCGCAGCTCAAGCTCCGGCTGCATGTAGATCCGCACGGACACAAAAGCCACCGAGCCAACCAGAACGGCTGGCAAGCCATTGTACACCACAAGAAGCAACAGAATCTTAGATATAGTATTCTTGCCACGCCAGGAGTGCGACCAGAACTGGGCAATATGTCGCCTCACTTCACTTTGCTGGTAACGGTCTGGTCCGTTGTGCCCTTCACGCAAAGCGCGTCCAAACCACCAAAGTGCATGGCGTGCCTGCGTCACTCTTACCACCTCCGGCCTTGTTATCTGAAGGCTCTCGAGGAAATCCTTGATCAGATCGATTTGTGTCTGAATCTCGTCATCCTCGAGCCCTTGTCGATCGATGGGTTCTGGCTGCAAAGGTCCAGCCTCAACCGAAGCACACCGCTCCGTGTTCGGAATTGCGGCCCTCTCGTCTGGCACCGCGTCACCTCCCAGCGAATCTGAATCCATGTAGAGACGACGTGGGGAAGCCGTTTCCAACCGCAAACTAAATCACTTCGGCTCAGACGGCTCTCAGAAACAAAACTCAGGAATGCGGCAAGCGGCGCACTGTCTATGTTGAGTTCAACCAACTGTTGGCGGTGAGATAGAGCGAACTGTCTCCTGCGAACTTCGATACCAGAAACCTTAAATCCAAACAAAGGCTGGAGTGGACGAATGCTCACAAGATTTCAGCCGGACTGAAGAAGGGCCTCTTGTGGACCCTGGACTACATAGCATCACTGGTTTTTGACGGTGGTGTAGTAACTTGAACACCCCACCAATACATAAGACATCATAAGACGGTTCAACAGATACTCTTCACCAGGACCGCTGGCATAACAGTATAGCCATAAACTCATAAGCTGAAGGTATACTGGTAGTAATGGTAATTTATAAGCAGAACTCTGGCGAAAAACGTGGGGCACGGTAGGGCATCGGAAGCCTTACGGTGCCCCCAAACCACACAGATGCCGAAATGCAAACGACTGAGCATGTGGCAGAGCGCAGGTGTCTGTGCACCCCTGGCCCTGTCCGCAATTTAGTGTCGAGTCTGCTTGGCGGTTCATGGGTAGTCATAAGGGAGGTTAGAAGTCCCCTTATAGTATGGGTTTCAATCATCGTTACCCTACTTATAACCCCACTTACAACTACCCCTAGACGCTATCATCCCGGACCCTAAACCCTAAACCCTAGAGAGCCCTTGAAGGAACCCCACTTTCAACTACTTATGAACCTCCACGCAGGGCCTAAGGACGCCGAGGGCTCTTCGCACAGCTCCTGCTACGGCGAGTCCTACTGCTACGACTACATCTACGACTACTTCTACTACTACTACTACTACTGCTACCTACTACCTGCTACCTACTACCTACTACCTACTACCTACTACCTACTACCTGCTACCTGCTACCTGCTACCTGCTGCCTGCTGCCTGCTGCCTGCTACCTACTACCTACTACCTACTACCTACTACCTACTACCTACTACCTACTAACTACTACCTACTACCTACTACCTACTACCTACTACCTACTACCTACTACCACCTACCACCTACCACCTACTGCCTACTACCTACTACCTACTACCTACTACCTACTACCTCCTACCTCCTACCTACTACCTACTACCTACTACCTACTACCTACTACCTACTACCTACTACCTACTACTTACTACTACTACTACTACTACTACTACTACTACTACTACTACTACTACTACTACTACTACTACTACTACTACTCCTGCTACTACTACTACTACTACTACGACTACGACTACGACTACGACTACTACTACTACTACTACTACTACTACTACTACTACTACTACTACTACTACTACTACTACTCCTGCTGCTGCTGCTACTACTACGTACTCCTTCTCCTCCTCCTGCTGCTTCCTCTGCCAATGCCACCGCGACAACAACGACGACCAGTGGACTATCACGACCTTTTATGTAAGTCGACGAAGACAGGGACAGCATCGACGAGGACTCGCAGTGCAAAGACAATACGTGCACAACGAGAATGCGCATGTCGATGTGCTTTGTGTGGGTGGTCCGTAAAATCAGAATCTTAGCCCATTTGGGTTCCAATCTTGGGTGCCCATATTTTCCGAAACTCCAACAGTATGATTAAGCATTCAGCACGACCTGATGATGATCTTGACGACGACGGGTGCTGCCCTCGTCGCCAGTAACTAACATCACTCTCAGGGTGAGAGTTACTATATCTGTGCCAAAGACCGTCGAAATTAATGCAGGGTTCATGCACTGACGAGGCCTCCGTATCCCCAGTAACACACTTAGACGTCACAAGCTCGCAACAGAATCCAGACCGCCCCTGCCCTTCGGTGTAGGTCCGCCTTCTCACCGATGCCAATCATTGCAAATGTCATGCCCTGCATGTCGACGGCGTGTAGGGTTAAGGGTTTGGGGCCCTCGAGAATTCCAAGGGTCGGGCCCAGGCTTCGGTTCATAATTCTTGGATACTACAGGGGCCTTCACAATTAGTATAGGGTTTTGGAGCGCCCATTATACTATACTTTTTATAGGGAGCCCACAAATAGTATTGAAGTCTTGGTAATTATTTAGGCCCCTGTATTTGGTCAACAGGTGCACACATCTTGCAACTACAGGCTACCTGCAAATGATGCTCAGCTAAGGACCAGGGTCTTCACCAGCAGCGACAAGAGCAGCTAAACAACACAGCAATTCTGCTTGAAAGCAAACTCTTTCCCTAAGGCTCAAAATAGCCCAAAAGCCTTACATAGTATGGTCTTTGGGCCAAAAAGCCTTACAATATGAGTCCTTAGAGCCTACGGGGTTACTTTGCCAACACCTCCCGTCCGGTGCCTTTTGGTACAGCCGTACTGCGGCATCGTTTCACAACGGCCAAAGTCTGTCTCCTCTTGCACGCCGTGATGAATATTACTACAAGGCCTAATCCAAAACCCTGAAATCCTGCAACTCTCCCAGATCCTCCCCAAATGACAGTGGTCTTGGCCTGCGCCTTCAGGCACTCCTGCGACACCGCTTTCCTGAGTGCGGAGCTTGGCTTCTTCCATCCGTGATCTTCATTGCGGCGCTTCTGGAGGATTGTCGGTACTTGGAGGGTCGGGGGACTTTGTAAGTAGGCAGTAAGTAGGCTTACAAGTACCCTAAGTCTAAAAGGGACCCTAATTGGGGTTATGGTACTTATAAGTCCCGAAAATGACCAGTTACTAAGTCCCCCGACCCTCCAAGTAGTGGCGTTGCAGCTTCCTCCAAAAAAAACACAGAGCTCAACGCCAGAGCCGCCAGAGTGCCGTCCCATCTCCGGGTCGTGGATTTTAGCACAGATCCTTTCTAAGGCGTGCAAGAGATCCATCGAGTCCACCTTGAGTCTCCATTGTATACAGTTCCGTTGTTTTTGTTCACCAAAAATTGACTGATATAGGATCCTGACCATCGACATGGTTAACCAAAAAGGAACTGCAGTGGAGACTATAATGTAGGTATACAGTAAGCCCATAAAGTTGGAAACCGGATGAAGGCCAAACAGTGCTGGGATTCCCCATACATTACTCTTAGGGATCGAGGCTGTTGGGTTTCCAACTTTTGGGATTCTACTGTAGGCACAAGCCTTCATTAATGAAGTCTCCTGAGGCAAGGTTTCATTTCTGGCAAGGAAGCGAGCTTAAGGTTATGGGTTTAGGGTTAGCCGAGCATCTGGTCCGTCATCGGATCGCCCACAAGCAGCTTCGTCCTGCTCATAGACGGGTCCCAAGAGCTAAGGTGAGAACACTGAGGCGATACGACTAGTAGCTCTTTCGATCTCGCTGTTGCCGCCGGCGCAGTTAGCTAAGCTGCTGTCCCAACAGAATTTCATGCCTGGTGCTGTGTATCATCGTGTCAACAAACAGGGTTTTGGTACAGTATACATAGTATAGTATGGCTATGATACGGAATGCTCAAGAACAGTGTTGGCAATGTTTCCGGCTTAGGTTCTATACTACGGCATGATATTTGACTAGATCGCAGTTGCTTCACCTCAATGCAGTTAGTGGTGGCTGTGGTAGCAGCAGCAGCAGCAGCAGCAGCAGTAGCAGTAGCACCAGCAGGAGCATGGCAAGGAGTGGGAGAGGAGCAAAAGCAGCAGCAGCAGCAGCAGATTCAGTTGTAATAGTCACAGTCTTCGTCGCTGTCGTCGCTGTCGGAGTGGTAGCAGCAGTCGCAGCACGAGTTGCAGGAGCAGCAGTGGTAGCAGTAGCAAGCACTGCGCTGTGTACTATACTATAAACTTGTATACTATGGACTGTACAGTATATTCATACATACATGGGTGGTTGTCAAAATTGGGTCCCTTTTCGGATCCCTTTTCTAGTACAGCGCCTATATTTAGGGTACCCCAAAATGGACCCTTAATTTTGACGGTAGTCCACGAGAGTGCTCTCCTGGCTTTGCTGTAGGCCTTGCAGGCCGGACCCAGCGCCGTCCTTAAGACTAGTTCATGGTTGGGATAGGATTAGAAATTTACATGTTTTTCCTTGTTGGGTTTAAGTACCCATAAGAATGTAGAATGCTACCCAACTGTGACACAGAAGAATCAGGGGCATAATGTTTAGGGGTTCGGGGTTTAGGGCTTAGGCTTTAGGGCTTCAGGTGCATACCTATAGTCTCCCATTGCAGTTGCTGTTTAAGGGCTACCTTTTGGGATCCTAATTATTAAAATAGTTGATAAACCAACAAGGACCTATAATGCAGACCATGGGCAGTTGGCATCATCGAGGGGTTAATAAAAGGGAGTTCAAATTCGGATGGGGTTTTAGCGGTATGTCATGGTATCATTGGAATGCGCTAAGGAATACCATCACTAATTTTTCATACCCCTAGCGAAACTTGAGATGCATAAAACTGTGAGACTCGTTTCATCTTGCAAGTAATGAAGGCACTGATAATGTGTGCAGAAGCTGTCCATGATCTTCCAGGGATCTCGGCATATGCTCGCTTCCAGCAGTTCCTCTCCAATGTTTGCAAGTTTCTTGGTGTCCCTGCCTCCCCGAACTTTTAGTCAGCCTCTCTGCCAGCTGGAGCTCAGGCTGCAAATCCAAATCGCTGGACAGAAACACAGCATTAAGAAAACCATGGACTCGCAACGTCGGGGTCGGGATGCTGTAGAACCCTCCAAGTAGAAGCTGGACAGCCGCTACAGGCCTCTCGACACAAACTCCGGAAACGAGACTGAACCTGTACAGGGACTGACTGGGTGCGCGTTAAAGGAAGTAATAGTTTAGGTTACTAATTAACCAAATTATTCATTGTAGATCCCTATTGTGGTAACTTCAATAAAATTCCTTCATAAGAACCCAGTTGGTTCAGATGGCGATCCAAATTGCAGATGCGATGCCCGGAACCCCAAAACCTAAACCCTAAAGCCCCAACCTCTTGCGCCCTAAGCACATAAACACATAATACAAGGGCC